CGCGTCCCCGCACCCTCCGCGGCAGCGCCGGGAACCCCCGGGGCGGGGGGCGCCGGGACCGCGCGGGGCGGCCGTTTAACCGGGAAACCGTCGGACTGTCCGCTCTCGGCACTCTGGCTACGGTAACTGTAAAACTTGATTACAGCGTTATTTGAGTAAAGGGATTATGTTCGTTTTGATAAAAATTCAAGCGGTTTGGAGAAAAAGATTTCTCTTTTCATGCGGTCATGCAGAAAATGAAAACAAAATTTTTTTCCCCCAGTATAAAATTGACCAAAGTATTATATTTGCTCAGTTACCGTAAATAAATGGCACCCAGAAAGCAGAATAAAAGCTTAGGTGTAATTTCTCTATGGCATTTGGATATTGTTCTGTCTTCAAAGAAGAGCTGAAGACACCCCGATGTCGCTGTCTCGATGGCTGTCTGCTGCTGTCACGCCAGAGCTGGCAGTCTACTACAGGCATTCTTACAGGCTTTGCTTCCCCTCGGCGTAAAGGAATTAAGCGGCAGCTAGGAACATTTGGGCACATGATTATCTATTTTTTTAGACTCAAATTTCCTTCCAAAGGTTCTTTTAAAAAACACACCGGATGCTGCACCGGTGTTATTGTCAACTGTTGGTAGATCAGAAGTTAAACAGTCTCCTTAATATCACAGTACGTAAAATCAAATTGACAAGATATTGCAAAGTATTTCTGTATTTTCAGTAACCAAAAGTACTGAAGACCTAAAACTCCAGTGCACAGTATATTTAATAGTGCAGAATTATCTTTAAAAAACAAGACTTCATTTTACACAGTTGCACGTTGTTAAGTGCATAGCAAATTCAAGCAGAGCATTAGTAGGAGCAGTGGCTGAGAAGCGCTAAGCTGTCCTGTCCCCAGAGTTTGAACTCCGTTTGAAAACAATGCTTTCCGCTGCAATCGGATGCTGCTACTGTTGGCCTCTTGTAAACTGATTTAGCTACTTAAGTTTCAGAGGAAGAAGCTGTTTGCAGCAGACACTTGTGCTTGTGACATCTGTGATTGCATGTATAGCATTATCTTGGCGAGTGGGTGAAGTGACCCAGCGCGGAAGCGCCTGTGGCTGCCCTTCACGAGCGCAACCGGCTCATGCTTTGGCTCTCATTCGAGGAACGACAACTTAAAGTGATTTTCTGCTACGGATGCTAAAAACGATGCTCACTCACTGGCATGAATGAATACATCTGCCTCCCCAGAAACAACTGCGTGCAAAGTGAATGAAACTGATTTTACATGTTCCAATACTTTAACATAGCAAAAGCAAATATGAAAATTTGGCTGAAAATACCCTTTTGTTAATTAAGTGGCTAAGCATACTTACAAAGGGTAAAGATCTGCCAATTTTAGGAATCTTGCTGCTTACCAGTAATTTTTTCTGCTGCTCCGAACCCCAGAGCTACTGTCCCCGAGGCTGCTGCCTCCTGTCGCGTGCAGCCTTTCTGTCCCTGGGGATGCCTGTGCTCTGCACCTGGATATTGTGTTTAAAGCTAACAGAATTAGTTATGTGGCCTGGAAATACAACACAGCCTGACAAAATTAATCTTAAAAATGAGTTGTGAAGCCGGGGTAAGGCTGGGGAGGAGCGTGGCTGTCCCCGGACTGGGGGTGGCACGGGGCAGGGCGGTGCTGGGGCTCTGCACGGTCCCACACGGCTGCAAGAGCAGCGGAACACCATCTCGGTGCCACCCCTCAAACCTTTGGGGGGGATCGGAAAAGCCTTGTAAAAACTGTTCACTATGTGAAGTGTTGAAGTAACATGATTCCCTGCTCTTTCGCTGAGAATCAAGTGACTGTTTATTTTTCTTGTTGTAGTGTCTTGTTTGGTTTTTTGGTATGAGGTTGCCAAAAGTCTGCAATAATTGGCGGTAACAGGTATAAGGTAACAAGAAGGCAGTAGTCAGGGTAACCTCTCTAGTTTACAACTGTCAAAAAATCTTCCTGAATTTGCTATCATTTTGAAGAGGGAATGTGGGATCATATCACACAGCAGTTTCTGACAAACTGTATTTCCAAGAACGTACAAATCCTGTACATGCTGTTACATACTGTAAGGGTTTGGGCCATTAACTGTAGTGCTTGGATTGAATTTAAAAAAGAAAGTAAGAGAAAAAATAAGCTTCCCAAAAAAATCAAGTAGTTGCACTGAATACTCTTTCCTCCCAATACGCAGCCCCACAGCGCTGCCCTTGGAAGCACATGAAGTCCTGGTTTACACACAGAATTAGTATCTGTGATCCCTCTCCCGCCCCACAGCGACACGTTTGCGGCTGCGCAGCGGGAAGGTCGCCGTCTCGGAACGCCCGAATGGGCCTCCTCTGTTGCAGACATACGGACTCCGGCTGGGGTTGAAGGCTGATGTGGTTCCTTTGCCACTCCGCTTTTTCTGTGCTGAATTTTATCTTCCCACGGGTGGGGCACAATCGCAGCGCTGCAAAGCGTGTGGAACCCACTCACAGTGGGCTGGGGCACCTGTGGTCACTGCAGTCATTGCCAGCGGCGCAGCGCCAGCCCTCCTTTGGGCTGCTGAAACGTGGGGAACAGTTCCGACTGTTCTCAACAAACTCTCTGAATCCACCCCCTGCTTTTAAAAGCACCCACTGCCTCCTCCGCAGGCAGGAGCCGTGTGCCCAGGTGGTGAGGAGGGACCTGCGGGGGTGGTGGGACCCCCACCAGCAGGGACGGGGACAGGGACAGCTGATGGGCTTTGCCGGGGCAGCTGGCTGGCGAGAGCCCCCCATCCCTGCACTGGAGCGGCCGTTGCCTCTGGGGCTTCGGTTCAGCGAAAGGCAGTTGTGAAGGGCTAGGGAAAGTTCCGACTGCGAAGGCCTGACAAGGTGTGCGGCAGAAGCCCCATCCCCACGCCCCGAGGAGCTGCTGTCACTGTGTCCTGCTGCAGGGACCCTCGGCTGCTCCCGCCTGCGTGCCTGCTGTCGTGTGGGCTGCGGGACTCCAGGTTTGCTGGCCCACATCCCCGCTGTGGTGGCCCCACCATGTCCACACCGCTCACTCTGATGGCGCCAGCCGCGCGGCGCTTGCCACACACCTCCCAGCGAGCCACTCTTCAGCATTAGAAATGGTGCTTTGAGCATTTGACACGACTGCAAACTTCTTGCGAGAAGGACGGAAGCACGTTGGCCTCTCACTGTCCCAAGCCCCAGCCAGGCGCTGAGCTCTCTCAGCACCAGCATGGAGGCAGGCACGCCAAGCTGCTCGAGCTGCAAGTTAGTAACACAAACAAGCAACACAAAAGGCTCAAATTTATTTTTTTTGGCACGCCTGCTACTGGAAACACAGCCTAACACGTACTTCAGAATCTATTTAAAGCCCCCAATTACTTCTCCCTCTAGTTGCTACCTAGTATGCCAAATTTTTACAGCGGAATTAAAAGGTCCCCAAGACATAGGCTTATGTAATGGAAACGACAACAGTGCCTTACCTATGTGGACCGGGAGTTCCTGTACCAAACAAACCATGTCCTTCACGCAAGGGCTTGTCTTGCAGTGTGAGCCACCGCTGGGTCATGGCAGGAACGGCTCAGGATCCATTGCTGCTAAGGTTTATAAATTCACCATTTTTCTGAAAAACACACTACGCATATGGAGTGAATTTTCCAGTGGTCCAACACAGCAGCGCCCAAATTATTGCAGGGTCCTATGTTTAACGCTCTTTCCACATCAGTGGTTCGCAGCTGGTACGAAGCCCGTCACTGTACCCCTCGGCTGACTGCCCCGCAGCTGGAGCTGACGCTGGGCGCTGGCCGCGCAGAATGACACGTCACTGAGCTAACGAACTGCCCGAGTGCAGCCTTGGCTAAAGGATGCAAAGAAAGCCAATGCTTAACGGCCGCTGGCCAAGGCAGGCAGAACACATGAACACAGAAGGGCTGGAGCACGGAACAGAGTAAAGCTCAGGAAAACAGCATCAACCGCAGCCCGGAGCAGCAGTTGGGAAGGATCCTGAGGCACCCGCTGGAGCTGGCGCGGAGCAGTACGTAGCTTCTACTCCTCTCGCCTAACCTCCACCCCGGGTACTGCTCGTTAGCCAACTAATACGTGGCTTTGCGTTGTTCTGAAAGGGTGCACAGTATATTGGAGCACGCTGTTCTGCAGAGGGCCTGCAGGATTAAAAACCTTCAAGGGTAACAACCCACTTGTTAGAGTTTCTCTGCTCTGCAAAAATCAGGAGGCCCAAACCCAGCATTTGGAAGTGAAACACTTCCACAGAGAACACGAATAAACGCTGCAGCAAACCAAACTGGCTGACAAAGTAAAAAACTTAATTCAACAGTGCTGTTAAAAAAACCCCAAAAACATTCTAAGGTTTTGTTCTCCGTGCTTCGGTGGCATTAAACCTGTTCACAATTCTGCTTAATTAACTTTTTTTCTGGTAAATGTCCATGAAGTGTTACTACTTAGAACAGAGCAGTATTTATAACAACTCTTACAAAGAGCATTACAATATTCAGTTTGCCATTGGCTTTTGAATGCCTTAGTCTATATTGTGATTTCAGCAAAAATATCAAGATTGCTTTCTGTATCATCCTCAGGCTCCAGTTCTTCATTGCGGTCCTGCGGAGAGGTGTGTACGTCTGTTTCTTGAACGGTCTTTCTCTTTCTTCTGCGAACGTACACAGAGCTATTCTTCTTCACCTCCTCAGAGGGAGAGCTGGCAGTTTTCAAAGCTAATTCTAAGCGTTTGTAGAATCTAGAAAGAAACAATTGTGTAGTTATTATCCTTGTAGGTTTGCTCAGAATCTGCAAAACTATTCTGAGAAACTGATGCTTTTGTAATGTAATTAAAACGCGCTAAGAGAAGAAAATCGTTACTAACATTGACGTGTTCTAGCCAATACTGGAAGAAAAATGAGACGTATCAGCCTACATCCTTGTGTGTGCCGTGCCACCTCCCTGTGTAATGCCCGTGTCAGAAATCAACTGGTGGCTGTACTCACCTGCCATGAACTTCCTGTTAATCTTAGAGAAACTATAAAATGGTATCAGGTTAAACAGCTGATGAATGATAGCATTAATCATCAGATGGACTGCTACTATCAGCAATTACTTTTAACTTTAACAACGGCAGAGATTTGCAATGGACACATAGGAATAAACTGGTCTGAGGATGTGCACGTGTCTCCCCGGCGTCCTTCTGATCCTCACGCTCCCTGGCTCTTCTGCCGGGTCTGTGCCTCAGCTGGAGACAAGTGTAAAGACCCAAAGTGTGTGTAACCTTCCGCTGCCTTCATAAATCATCAGTTTTGGAAACTACACAAAGCACTTAATGGATTAAAGTGTGCACTGCGATCTGAATACTCCTGAAATGGTCACTGGGTTAGAATAACAAATGCTTTTATCATTAGAGAAAGAAACTGAATCCCTACTCAGTAACAAAGGCAGTCTACAAACTCATGTTGTATACAGGTTTTTGTTTAAACAGTTTATAGTCTTCAGAGCTCAAAAAATTAATTGAATTTGTATTTTAGACTTCAGGGGGGTTGTCTGGTTTTGGTTGGGTTTTTGTGGTTTTTTTGTTTGTTTGTTTGTTTGTTTTGTTGGGGTTTTTTTACATAACGTCTCTCACTTTTGGATTTAGATGTCATGAACAGGATTGGTGCACTTTTACAAACCTGTCAATCCGCCTTATGTTTTCTTCCATTTTCCGATTAGCTACATGTACCAGAAACTCAACATATTCTTCGGAGACCATCAATTTCCCCTTGTGGCTCAACGGAACTTCTAAGCAATGAGTGCTCCGGACAGCCTAAAAACAGACACAGAAGGATTTCTCTATAATAAAGTTTTTTATTTTATGAAGGTCACTTAAATAACATGGGGAGTTCATTACAGGAAAAGAAATGCTTATCCACACAATTGGTTAGTTTGCTGTCAGATAGAGCAGAAACAAGCTACAGCATGCCCTGCGACAGCTGTCGAGCACTTTGCAATTCAGATCTTGGCTCATAAAAAAAAAAAATCAAGGCTAACAGTAACGATATGATTTTGTTACATTCCTTACGGGTAAGTAGAAAAGTCCTTACCATCATAATTTTTCCTCCCCTGCCAACTGTAATACCAGAGTTCCTGAACCCAGAGTCGACAGCCACTGAATGCTGCAGAACAAATAAATGTCTTAAACAGGTCTCATACACTTTCACAGCAAGAAATAATTATGGATAGGTTGCAATGCAGTTTATAATCTCAGTTTTGCAAAAAAAACCAAACAAAAACTTGTTCAAAACCATCTTCCCAAATTAATGCAATAGTAGTTACATTAAAATGTCTTCAAGATCAAACTCATGCAGTATCACAGATTGTGGTTGGTTCTCCAAGAACCACCGTCAGTCCCGACGTCTCATCGTCCTCCCTTAGCGCAGACGGGACACGAACGTCTCTCTGGGCACTGCGCTGTTTCGCCTTGAAGAGCAGGTAACCCTACGTAGACAGTCGTGCAACACTTTTATAGCGAAAAGTGCAGCAGTACTATGAAAGCAGCTCATCAATACTCTCCTACATTAATGAAGGAACAAACCCATCACCATTACTCTGCGGAGTCAATCTGGAAAAGCAGAAGGCAAATGTACTACTCAGCTGAAACACCGGAGCCAAACGGCCTGGCTGGTGGCAAAGCAACGTCTAAAAAACCGTCACTTTCAGCCAGCGAAAGCAACCCGGGCTCAAACACTGGGAAATTTTTTTACCAGGCAGCCGGCTTCAGCTCAAACACTGAATTGTAGTTGAGTAATTTTGTTTTCTAAAAAGCACAGCAAAATCTCTACTAAGTTTAAAGCTGTGTTTTCTTCATTAGCTTACTTTTACTACCCTAGTTATTTAACATACAGCACATCTGGGACTGTTCTGAAGAGCTAAAGCTTACTCGGGAGCCAATACTTTTACTTTTACAGCAAGGAATATTACAGAACGACAATGTAACATTGTAACTTGATGTAATTTTACCAGAAGCTGTGCATCTCGCAGCTCTTGACAGAGCACATGGAGAACAAATGGTTCAAACTTGAGGACAACATCACCAGTGGCTTTCTCTAGTGCTGTCATCTGGAAAATAACACCAAAATATTTATATTAATACTGCAAGTGTGTACTGTTACAAAAAAAAAAAAAAAAAAGAAAAGAAAATAATAGCTTGTGGGTGAAACAAGCGTTAAGAGTGCAGCAAATGAGTTCCAAGCGATCAGGTTTGTTCAGCTGCTTTTGATTTTTCATTGCTCATAACACATAGAAATTCCATGGATTTCCATGATTGTGTTTGCTAAGCTGATTAGGTTTGATAGAAATTCATGCAAGATAAACTTTAAAAACTTGAAAAAGTGTGCTTCCCTGTTTAGTTCTTTGTACATTCACCCGAATCGATACAGTCAGTACAGCAAGGGCAGAGGACTGTTTTACTGCAATCAGATGAAACCTGAGCAGGTTTTTTTAGTTTTTTTTTTTTTTTTTTTTTAACTGTTCTTCAAAATCAAAGACAATTAGTTTCTGAAGTACATTCCTCAACTTCACAAAACTTTCTGCAGTTCAGCAGAATAAATTAATGGCCTAATCACGCTTGATCACATTTTAATCCTAGTTTAAATAATAATGCATAGCCTACTTTGTGTTATAAAGACAAAAAACCACAAAGCACACCAGCTTGAAATTAGAGGCATGAACCCACAAGACAAGAAAAAAAAAAAACCCAAACAAGTAACTTCACAATTATAAAATCCAAGAAATCACCTTCAGACCCCTCAGTTCTGCTAGAAGACCAAGATGCCAGTGGTAATTTTTCCAGGATTTGTGAGTGTGGAGAAAGGTCCAAGACATTCTGCACGGCTTACTATTACAATTTCTCTACTTTTCTATGCTGCCTTTATCTTAAAGGCTGATACTACTTTCTTCCACTCAGAAAGGTCGCTTTGAGGCAGTTATATTACTTATTTCGTTGTATGATTATTTAATCATCAGAGCCGTTTGCCCCCCCTTCTTGTTTGCCTTCACTTGCTTAATTCACAGCACTAAAAAATTTGCTATGTTAACTTGAGAAATTTCCGCTGTTTTCCCATACTTTTTTGTTCTCTATAGCCCTTCTCATCTTTCTTGTAAAATGAAAATATTCAACAGAATCCTCAGGAAATAATCAAATTCATGTGCTTTCTTAAGACATGATGGCATAAAAGAAAACTGCTGAAGTAACGCTCTCTCCTTTCCTTTAAGCATTGAAAAGTATTTAAATGTATTTATGCAGCATCTCCCCCATAAATGTTCTTATTTTAAGTTGAAAGCAGGTCTTTCTGAATGGCTAAGTTTGTAATTTGTGCGCCAGATTTTAAAACATGCCCAAGTAACCACAGCTGTGCTGGAGCTGATGAGAAACAGAAACCATCAGCGCTGCATAATGCGGTGTTGTACAGAAATACCGACACTAACTTATTTAGCGTTTGCTCGGGCCTGGAAACGAGCAGTGTTGACAGAGCGCTCCACTGAGGCGAGCTCACCGGCGTGAGCGCGGGCAGGGTCAAACCACTGCCGTACCCAAAGTGGGCTCTGCAGCAGCCGCATCGCGCAAGGCAGGCTGTGCGCGCCACGGCCCCGCTCTGTGCAGTGGCTGCCCAGGCTGTGCCCGTCTCCGCAGGAACGTGGACACAGGCAGCAGCCGGCACTCACGGTCACAACACCGGCTGGGACTGCCACGGGCGCCTGCGTTCCCTCTCTGGGCATGTTTCCCTAGAGGCTTTCCCACGCCTGAGCACGCTGTTCCAGCCACCGGAGCAACGCCTGGTCCCGCTTCAGCAAAACCACCGGCACCTGCTGTGGCTGGCAGCCGAGTTAGGCGGGCTGGTCTCTGACACAAGTATTATAACAGAGAATGAATGCATTATTAGCTGCGATCAGCATGTGCGATATCGCTGAGGGTGTCTCTAAGGGTTTCTGTTTCTCTGAAAAGGCTAAGTAATTCAGCAGACACTCTAGAGACTTGTATTCAGTGAGAATACAACTAGTTACAAAAGTCATGCTGACTGAAAGCATCTATGCACGTCAGCACTGCCCCAAAGCTGTCTTACAATACTTGTTTCCTTACAAAGCTTATTCATGGAACAGAATTATTTCTGGTAAAGTTTTTTTAATATCTTACTGCAGCTAAATAATTAATTTCCTGCAAACTCAATTTAATAGGGAAATACTGAAAGTAATTTTCTATTCAGTCTATGCAGTCTGAGGTTCTGATTTGCTCCCAGTGAAGGTCATGGGAAAACTCCCCATGGGAATGGGATTTGACTCATTAGAGATGAGGGGCCTAAGTCTAATTGCTGTTATGAAATGACAGAAAGCGCCTGTCAGTGATATGTAAAAAAGCTCACACAAATGAAAACCCCTCTGTTCCAGACGCAGGAGCAATTGCTAGTGATACGAAGCGGAAAACAACGGGCTGTGTTTAACAACTGACCACGGCAGCACGTTTACCGTAACACAGAGAGCAGCCCTGGC